CCATCTGCAACAACATGGGTGGACCTAGAGGGTATTATGCGGAGTGAAATGGCTCAGACAGGGAGATGCCATGTGATTTCACTTATATGTGGAATCTAAAAAAATAAATATACATTATTAAAAAACCATAAACAAGCTCACTGATACAGAGAAAATTTTGATTGCTGCCAGATGGAAAGGGGGTTGGAAGGATGGGTGAAAAAGTGGAAGGAATTAAGCTGTGCAAATTGGCAGTTATAAAAAGAGTCACAGGGAAGTAAGAAAACACAGTCAATAATATTTCATAATTATGTATGGTGTCAGATGGGTAGTAGACTGATGGGTAAGTAGACTTATCAGGGTGATCGCTTGTTATATAAATGTCTGATCACTATGTTGTGCAACTGAAACTAATAAAATATTTCATGTCAACTGTTACAGAAATAAAAAAATAATTAAAAACTAAAAAATACATAAAAACATTAAAAATTATAATACTAAAGAACAGGAAAAAACATTTGGATATCATTTAAACAATATGGGTTCAATATCCAGAATATGTTAAAACACTCTTACAATACTAATAAAAATTAGTAAATGGATATAATACTTAAACAATTTTTAATAATATGAACAAAAATATCACCTAATTTTAAAAAATGAACAAAGGATTTCAGTAGATAATTCTTGAAAGAAGATGTATTAAATGGCCAATAACCACATGAAAAGATGTTCAACATCACTGGTCATTAGAGAAAAGCAAATCAAAAACATACTGTTTCACACCCAGTAGGATGGTTTTAATCAAGAAAACAGAAAATCACAAGCGTTGACAAGGATGTTAAGAAATAGGAACCATCAAACCTTGCTAGTGGGAATGTAAAATGGCACAGGTACTTCAAGAAATAGTTTTTTAATTCCTCAAATTATTAAACACAGAGTTATCATATGAACCAGCAATTCCACTCCTAGGTTTATGCCCAAGAGAAATAAAGACCTGTGTCCACACAAAAAACTGTACTTCAATGCTTATAGTGACATTAGTCATAGTAGCCAAAATGGTACAAACAAACTAAATTCCCATCAACAAATGAATGGATAAACAAACTGTGGAATAGATACATAGAATGGAATATTATTCAGCCATAAAAATGAATGAACTACTGATATATGCTATGATTTGGATAAACATTGAAAATGTTACAATAAATAAAAAAAGGCAGACATTGACATTCATGTATTACATGATTCTTTTTATGTAATATATCCAGAACAGGCAAATCCATAGAAAACAGATTAGAGGTTACCATGGAAAGGGGCAAGGCAGGGCATGTGAAGCACTTGCTTAAAAGTACCGAGTGTTTTTATGGGGTGATGAAAAAGTATTTGAAACCATACAGGTGTTGGTTGCATGATATTATGAATACATTACCACTGAATTGTATACTCTAACATGGTTTATTGTATGTTATATAAATTTTATCTCAATTTAAAAATAGGATAGACTACTTAGGATTAAATTTAATAAAGTAAGTGCAAGACTTGTAGACTGAAAACCACAAAATATCATTGAAAGAAGATTAAATACCTAAACAAATGGCAACAAGTCCTGGGTTCATAGAGTAGAAACTTCAAAATTTTTCAGATGGCAATCTCTCCAAATTGATCTTTGATTCAGTGCAATCCCTGTCAGTCCCAGTTGGCTTTTTAGGGGCAGAAATTGGCAAGTTAATTCTAAAATTGATATGAAAGAGAGGGACTCGAGAGAAGTCAAAACAATGGAGAAAAGAAAAAAGAGTCGGGGGACTCACACTTTCCATTTTCAATATTTACTACAAGGCTACAGCAATCAAGATACTACAGTACTGGTATAAGAACAGACACATAGACCTATGGAACAGAACTGAGAATCCAGAAATAAATTCATGCATTTGTAGTCAACTGACTTGTGATAACCATTACAAAACCAGTCAACAGGGAAAGTAAAGTCTTCTGTGTCAAGTCTTTGGACCTTCAATTAGATACCAAAAGTACAAAAAAGAAAAAAATAGGTAAGTTGAACTTTATCAAAATTAAACACTTTTGTGCTTTACAACAAACTGTCAAGAAAGTGAAATGACAACAGGGTCTAATATCCACACAAAGAACTTTTACAACTTAATAATAAAAAGACAAAGAATACAGCTAAAAAAAATGGGCAATGATTTGAATAGATATTTCTTGAAAGAAAATACACAAATGGGCAATAACCACATGGAAAATGCTCAACATCATTAATCATTAGAGAAATACAAATCAAAACCATAATGAGATACCACTTCACATCCAGTGGGATGGCTGTAATTAAAAACACAAAGAATAACATGTGGGTAAGGATGGAGAGAAATTTGAATTCTCATACATGGCTAGTGGGAATGTAAAATGTGTAGTTACTTTAGAATATACTTTTCCAATTCCTCAAACATAGTTACTTTATGACTGGCAATTCTAGTATTATATCCCAGAGAAATAAAATATACATATTATTCATAAAATTATACATAAAAGTTTATAGCAGCATTATTTATAATAGTCAAAAAGTGAAAACAAACCAACTCCCTTCAACTAAGAAATGCACAAACAAAATGGAATATTCTAAGTAAAAGAAAAGGTATGAAGTAGTGATACATGCTACAACATGAACTCTGAAAACATTAAGCTAAGTGAAAGACACCAGGCTATGATTCGATTTACACAAAGCATCCGGAACAGTCAAGTCCAACCTACATAAAGTAGATTAGTGGTTGCCTAGGTCTGTGAAGGGGAAGAGAATGAGTGACTGCTATTGAGTACTGGGGAGTTATTATTTTGGGGGTGATGAAAATCTCCAGCAATAGAGGTGTTGGTTGTAAAGCCCTGTGAATATACTAATAACCACTGAATTCACACTGAACAACTCAAACTAAATTACACTAAAATGGTGAAAGTTATAGTAGGTTAATTATATCTCAATTAAAAAAATGGATGAGGAATTTACTACAAAGAAACAAAGTACTTACATGAAGTAGAGCTGGGGAGTCTGTATCTTAGTGTATTAAAACGCTTAAATAGTAAAAGGAATGCTAACAAGTATGTGAAGTTTAGAGGTAGGTTAATTATAAGATTCCAATTTAAACATTGTACGTCAGGACAAAATCTCAGAATTTTAGGAATTCTTAGGGAAGATAATTTGATCCAGCAGTGAATAATTTCCATCACTAAATTAGTCTCTGGTTAAAGCCATCACTCAGATTTCGGCATGGGGACAATATTTAAATAAGCAATTCATTCCACAATAGAAACCACAAGACTGGATTGAATTCTGTTGTCACCTTGTTGACTTTAGGAACTATATAATCTCCTATTCACACACAATCAGGGCCTTAAGCTTCAGCCTCACCTATGGTGTTGGGTGTTTGTTCCCCTCAGCCTGGACCTTAATTCTTAATGTGCCGCACAGACTATTCCTTAGACTCACACAGCACCAAGGGACAGGGGTGCTGGACTTAAATGCTGAAGCCTAGTGAGAACAAGCTGCAAGCGTCAGAGAAGTTACTTCTCCAGAGGACAGTGGAAGAGTGAGGGCTGCATCTCCAGGCAACCCAAGAACATGTCACCTCATCTTAAAGAACATTACTTAAAGTTTGCTTTAGCCAGTTTTACAGAAAAACAAAACAAACAACTGTGAAGCTGTCTGTGCATCAAAATCAGAGTTTGAAAAGATAGTATGTATTTAATAAAACCTTTCAAGACTAATTGAGTATTTTTGAATAGGCTGTGGGTTTTGTTTGCATTGTTTTATTTGACTTGACTACCTTTAATTCTTGAACTTTTTCACTGGATTCAAGAATTTGATGAGGAATCCTAATATTTTCCTATATTTAAGGGGAAAAAGATTTTAAAACAGCAAAATTCTAAAATCATTCAAATTAAAGGTAAGCATCTGCTCCATTCTAGAATGGCATACTCCTTACTCTACATTTCCTTCTGTACTTTTTAAATTAAAAGTAAATAGGTTTCTCCTAGAACACTTGCTTAACAATGCTAAGATTACATATGCACGATAGCTAATTCATTTTAAAACTAAAAACATGAATTTGTCCTGGGAATATCATGCTGAGCAAGGAAGGTCAGATAGACGGGGTGAAGAGCCATGTGATTTCACTCACATGTGGGATGTAAAACTGGAAGCAACAGATGAATGAGCAGGACAGACAAATGGAAACTCCTGGACACAGACAGCAGTGTAGTGGTTACCAGAGGGAAGCAGGTGGGTAGCACAAGGTAACGGTGGTCAAGTACATGGTGATGGAAAAAGATTTGACTTGGGGTAGTGACCACACAATGCAATATATAGATGATGTACTGTAGAACTGTTTATCTGAAACCTATATAATTTTATTAACCAATGTCATCCCTATATTTTTAACATAAGAAGGATGGATTTGATACAGCAAATCTCTAGGGGAGGTTTCTTAATATTTCTGTAATAAGAAAAATGTAAGTAGAAAGAGTCCCTACTGCAGGGATTAGCTGAGTCACTAAGTTGGCATGGTGAATGTGTCTGGCCAATCTGGAGGCTCATTTTTAATTCTCTCACATCTTAGATTTCTAGATTTCTTATATTCAACTCTAATACTAAGTACATTTAATAATCTATGATTCAATTAATGAGTTAACATAAGTTAAGAGATAAATTATGTAACTAGAAATAGCTTGTTTTAAATGTTGATCCACAGCAATGGTACTCATTTCATCAAATAAAATTTTTAGCAACTTTTTTAAATGACTGCCTAATTCATCTTTATAAACACAGTCCCTTTTCATCATGGGGAAGGATGTGCAGATTTTAGACATTTGCGTTACTTGGTGTTCAACAGAACCTCACACAGTGTTTTCATCATACACTTTGTACTAAAATGTGGTTTATATAAATGAAAATGTGAATGGCCATCGCCACTCACACAGAATGACATCAAAGAACACCCAGCCAGTCCACTCACCTTGGGGAGTTATCAGAGTTCTTCCATTCTTCTGACACCATCCAACTGGCTGGATATGAGGACTATTTATACCACACCTGCAAAAACAGCATTCTACTTAGATCTTATATTATTCAAGGATGAAAAAGGAATTCAATAGTAATGAACATTCTGGATATTAAGAAGTACCATGGAAATATTATTTCACAGCCAAGATGTAGCTAAGATAATTAGAAGTGATTTTTAGTATTATATAAGCTAAATGAACTTCTCTTTTACATAACCTTTTAAAAATTTAAAAGTATAAAATAAAAAGTTTTTACTATAACCTGAAATACCAGTAACATCCCCAAAGAGTGAACACTTTAATAGTCTTGTACAACTTCTTGCTAAGAGCAAGGGAAATATCAATAGGCCAGTCCGAATTTTAACAGGACAGCCCAATCAGACTCCACATGGCTTCACATTTCCTCCACCTCCGTTTCAAAGAATTCACACTATTCTACTTAAGATGCATACAACAACTAATCTTTGCTCTGCTTCTTAGTTCAAAGACAAAAACAGGGTCCCCTTCATGTACATGAAGAACCACAGCCTCAGTCAGGGACTTGTTGGTAATTCGGGACATGCTATGAAAAACTGCTACTAAAATTATTTGTGCCATTCCCTCTTACCTATTTCAGTGTTTTGCCCAGAAAACCCTTTTAATTCAAGCAATGTTAGCTTAATGGCATTGTTGCATGCATTTTCTCTGCTCTCCACAGGCTTTCAAATAATTCACCCCATTCTCCCTGAATCCTACCTTTTAAAAATATGACAGGGTGATTTTAACATTTTTCAGGAAAAAAAAATACTGCAAGTTCTTAACTCATCACAAAAAAAAAAAAATGCTCCCCTTACGAACTACACAAAATACAGTGAAGTACCCTGAACTGGTCATGTTATTTCAGATGAGTTCTCATTAGGTAACCACCCATGAAATGAAGACATGTTTCTTGGGCTCTTTAACTAGAGAAGGTAGTGAAAAGTCAGCCCCTAAATTCCTGTTGTTCATACTTTTAAGAACAGAAGAACAGCGATAGTACTGGAATGAAAACAAATTCTTAACACTGAACATGAATACACAGAAATAAAACGCACAATGGTGTCTCACCAGTAATCGTAACTATCATCCCAATTGTCAAAATGCACTAGTAAGCGATCTTCAACAATATCTGCTATGGTTGCCACACACACCAGTGAAGGGTTCTTCCTGTCGATGGCCTCCAGCTTCATTCCAACCTGAAATTCTTTAGGCACCGGCCCATTCTAACACAGCACCAGAGGGAGAGGCACAAAAAGAAACAGGACATGAAACAGCACTGAGCCACTGTCCAAACTTCCATGATGTTTAGCATCAGAAAAGTCTGTCAGTTATCCACACTTATCATGCTGAGTAAAGCCAGCAAATGCCACTAAAAATATTCCCACAAACTGTTAGAAAGTTGACATTCAGAACAAAGATGGGGAAATGAGTTTTTACACCGCGCTCTTCTCTTTCCCTGTGCAGGTCAGCTCTATCTGCCTTATCACTGTCACCTTCCCTCTTCCTCAGTTTTCAGAATAATGTGTGCTCATTTTAAATTATGATGTTTACTGAACACAGTAGTATCAAATAATTTCTTCTGGTCCCTATAGGATTTTGAATAGTTTCCATATACCACTATTTTGGAAAAGTAATAAAGATATGCTCTTTAGTACCAAAATAACTTTCATCATATATGAAAATAGTGGTTTTTCAATATTTAAAGAACACACACACGAATCCACAAATAAAATTACAACTGAAAAAATCCAAATATTTTTTATTATATACACATAATTTTCGTATTAAAAACGATAAGGAATATGATTCACAATAATATTACAATGACAAAACTCCACTTTCATAAAGCTATAATTAGCCAGTGCTGGGATTTAGAAAATATACATACAGTATCTGGTTTTTTTTCTTTACTATCGATGCTGAACTCTGATTATATTTGTTAAAATCATCATTTTTCAAGATGATTTTACACTTCTTTCCTTAATACAATTCTATGAACCACATCGAGAATCTGTGTAACAGTGACTTTAAGAGCAGGACCCTGAAGCCTAGAAACGTTGGGTGAGTGTCCCACGGGGGACGGAGCCCACAGGCAACAAGGCTGACAGCTGACTGCAGGCTTCCCGACCCCTTTGGAGACGTGTGGCCTCCCTGCCGGGCCTGTGGGCCAAAAGGAGGCCAAAGCTACGATTTATCTTCCTTCTCTCTTTAAGACTTGTTAGGTTGCTGGGGACATAGATGGCATAACTGTCCTCTACCCAAATTCTCATACCCCTTGAATCTATATGAAACGCCACCCTCATTGTCATTACACATAAATCCAACTAGGCTGGTACATTAAAGTCCACCTGGGGTATTTACTCATCTCAAACACCAAAACTAAGTTTGAATGACTAGCTCACTAGAAGCACAAAGAAAAAAAAAACATTTCTAAAAGGCATTTTAAATTTTAGCTGGTTTTCAACATATATTTTTCAACTCTCTTTATCTAATAGCACTTTTAATTATATTTTTAAAGGAGAAAAAAGTACTCCCATAAGAAACTGATACATTAAGTGAGAAAAGTCAACCAGAAGTTGAGAATTCTTAAAAGATTAAAATACAACAGAATATATAATGATTTTTTAAAAATTTAAGCTCAAGGAAAAATCTAGTTTATATTGAGGCAGAAAATACTTACAGAACTTCTGTTCCTGAATAATTTCTTGGGAGCATTTTGCAATTTGTAGGCCTTCAAATAATTCATCCAAACAAATTTATCTTTTCTATAACCTAAAAAAGTATGGATTACTCAAGATAACCACAAGATATAACCATCTGCATACTAAATATATAATTCTTATTCAGTCTTCTGCCATAAATTAAATGTCCTTTAGCAGACTACAAAAGATTTAAATTAAAATCTCTAGCTTCTTTCAATGGTTTCTAATGTACAAACTTCAAGACTGTTGAATGTGATATCCCATCATGTAGATCACTCCTTACAAATTTTTTAAATTTATTAAGATATGGAATTGGTATCTGGCAACTAATAGGTGTCTCGTATCCCATTGGGACTTTCCAAAATGGGCAAAGGAAGTAGACAAAAGCCCTGAGTTTGTCATCACTCCTGAAGAAGCCACGTCACCAAGACCATCAGGGGTCCTGATGGTACAACAGTCCAGGTATCAGACATATGGTGTAAATTACAGAAACACCATCATAATCCAAAGGCCATTGGCAGCTCCAGCTGTCTGATCCATAGCTTTACAGGTTTCCCATTAAAAAATGCATTATCCTGCCACCCATGTGCCCTAAACGTAGCTCACTGGGTGCTGGCCCAATTAAAACTGGCTCAATAAATATTTTCTGTCGGTGTTAATATTAATATTTAGAATAAAAGTCAAACTCCTTGCACAGCCTTCAAAGCCATGGCTGCATCTCTAATTTCATCTCCTATCTTCTCACCTTTGCTTCTGCTGTAGCCACATTCATTCCTTGTTATTACTCAACTGCACCAAGCATGCTCTGGCCCCAGCACATTTACTCTTGCTTTTCTCTTTGACAAGTGCTCTTACCCAGGCAGCCACACTGCTGCCTCTCTCATTTTACCCATGAATCTGCCAAATGTCACCTTCTCAGGCTTTCTTCTCCATGCTGAGTCAGAATGTCCCTGTGATTCTCAGCCCTCCCACCCTGCCACTCCCTCCCTGCTACTGACTCTTTATCTTTGTTTACTGTTCTCTCCTTTAGAATGAAAGCCCCATGTAGGCAGAGGTGGTTTGTTTTATTTGGTGCTATATGCCCAGTGCCTGCACAGAGGAAGGGCTCCATAAATACCTACCAAATGAATGAGCCTGTGGTGTGCTACAAGCTTCCATGACACCCAGCAATCTAAAGGACTCTGTCATTAGTCTCAGGGACAGATCCCAAAGGATACCTTGAGTTGGTTACTAAGAATAAATGACTACATACTAACTCCAGAAGTTTCCACAGCCATCAAATAATTTAGCATCCAACCAGGATATCTTACACAGAACTTTGCTAAGCAAAGAAATGGGCCCATTGTCACCTCAGCTGGGCAATCCTCACCTCACTAGCACACAGCAAATAAAAAGGGCTTCAGTCACATGTGCCAGGCCCACATTCCTCTAGCACATAACAAAAGACACGAATGAGACTTTTATTTCCCATTAAAACACTGAAATGGGTTTCTCTTTCATACCTCCGTGTTCTCCATGAGTTCTGCTGGAACAATGACAGAAACTCAAGCCTCCTCCCTGTCCAGAACCAATGACTGAGATATCTAATTTCAACTGTGATTTAAACATGTTTCTTCATTTCTCATATGGTTCAATAAACCTTATGTGAAATGCAATACCTTCACAAGATTTTATTTCTGCCCTAGTTGCCTTATCAGAGTATCTTACTCAAATAGTCTTCAATGTTTTTCTCTTAAAGACATTTATTTCTAAGAATGGTACCCTTACAGACTTACTCTTTTTTGAAGATCAAACTTTCATTTTAGAAATTAAATCACACCAGGCTCTTGTGTAATTATGTCATGGAAATGTTGTTAAATAAAACTGAAATTAGAACTCACTCTCTCTCCATCCTGGCTTACCCTTAGGGATATGCAATTCATGTTTGGTCTTTTCACACCAGCCTATGGGATGAAGGTCAGGGGAACCAGCATTGGTCCAAAAATCATAGCAGCTTAAATAACCATCAAAATGAAGCCTTAGACGGTAACCACACACCTGCAAAATGGAACGTTTGCCGTTGTTCCTTGTGTCATGAGTTTGAAGTATACAAAAAAATTAACAAAATATTCACATATTCTGTCAGTGCCATCAATGTAATGAACCAATCCTCCCATCTACTTATAGATGACATCTAAATAAGACAAAATGCTGACAAAATACACTAGATTTTTTTCTGCAAAAATAATTACCCTTTCCCTCAGTCTAGGAATCTGAGGTCAATTTACCCGTCCATTACTCCATGAGTTTATTAACTCAAATCTGTCAAACATTCCTTTCAGAAACCCCATCTAGCTAAAGTACAAAGCAAAAACCAAATGGGCATGGACTTATTTCAACTCTAACATATAAACCCAGCATACTCAATAAAGGAAATAATAAAACAATCTGAGAAATGCATCATCTAAACATGATATATAAATTTAATAGCCATAACCAATCAGCAAATGAATAGTTTTCTATGTTTGGGGTTATTAAAAATATACATATCTTTTATCAATTTAATAGTATAAAATGTTTAGTATATATGACATTTTATAAGCCATGTACTTTCATCAACAGCTCTTCATGCTACATAATTTTCAAAATGTACTTATTTATGTAAATATATAATTCATATGTGTGGATATTTTTCATATGCATTTTTAATTAATTCAGCTAAAACTTCAATAATTACATCTTTAACAGATAAAAGCAACAATGTGAGACTCACTGATTGTAATCAACCTCAGGTGAAAACTATTTACCAATTAACTCAAGAGTATTTGCTAGGGATGAAAAACTTATTAAAGAGCTAATCTTCAGAAGAAAAAATCATTAAGAAACATATTTTACCCATCATTGACTAAAATTATAATGTATTGGAGCTTATTTAGAACAGAAAGTACTCGATTCATTATTCTCTAGAAAATTCTCTTCTGTCATTTCATGCTGCAATTAGAACAAAACAATAACACCAACTCTTACCTCAGCTACAGAAAGCACACAAAATACAGCTGGGTGTCGGGGGTCAATGCCTTCTAATCTCATTCCAATCTGAAAACCATTTTCATACTCTGGAAAGGACTGGTCCTAAAGAATTCCATGATATAACATTAGCCACTGAAATATATTCACAATTTAACACTAAAACACTTGGTGTGGCTATGCAATCAAAAACTTACCGCACTAACTTGAAAGCTCAGTAATATAGCTAAGAATATTGGGTTGACCAAAATGTCCACTTAGTTTTTTTTTAATAAAAGAATATTTTTCATTGTCACCAGTAACTTTATTGATTTGGATATTTTGAGTAAGTCGGCTATCTCCTGCATAGTATAATGTTGATTGTTCTCAATTAATGTCTTCGTTACTATTGACTTCACCATGTCTACCCGACCATGGAACATTGTCTGGCGAGAAATCTCCAGCACAAAACTTCACAGACCACTTTTGACACATTCCATCAGTCACAGCACCTTCTCCATACACTGCACAGTCTTTTTTGGTATTTCAAGTGAGTTTTTACCATTCCTAAATAATAAAGTATAGTGTGCAAAAAAAGTGTATTTTCTTCCATCATCAATATTAAAACTGCTACATAAAAATTCACCAATTTTGATGTTTTTTAAAAAATGTACACTGATATGACAGCTGTCACAATATAATCTAACAAAATTGATTTGTAGTATATCAAAATGAAGTAAAGTGCTGAAGTCATCTTAGTGGGGAAAAAAAAACAAAGTTTTTGGCCAGTCCAACAGAAGGATGCTGTTATATATTTAACCCTGAAAGATGGTTTGATCATTTTTATGTGCTGTGTTTGAAATAGTACACAGATAGTCAGCATGCACAAAACTTTATGCCCTGTGAACTCATTTATTCTTTTTTTAAAAAAATATTTTATTTATATTTAGATAAATGAGAGGGGAAGGAGAAAGAGATGGAGAGAAACATCAGTGTGTGATTGCCTCTCATGCACCCCCACTGGGGACCTGGACCACAACCCAGGCATGTACCCTGACAGGAATCGAGCCAATGACCCTTTGGTTCACAGGCTGGCACTCAATCCTCTGAGCCACACCAGCCAGGACTGAACGCATTTTCTTTTGCTTATTTTTTATTAATGATTTGAAGGAGTTCTTCTTGAAACAACCCTTTATTGATTATAATGATTACCTATCACTAGTCTGTGACTTGGCTCTTCATTTTGTCTCTGATGACCTTGATGTACAGATTCATTTTAAATTTTAATGTAGTAAATACATCAGTTACTTCCTATACAGTGTGTACATTTAGCCTGTGAAATCCCCTGCAAACCTGAAGTTACAGTTATTCTCCTAGTGCTCTTTTAAATTTTTTTTCTTCATATTTAAATCCATAATGCAACTGGAACTGACTTTTTCTGTGGTGTGAGGTAGGACTCTATTTTTTCATATGGAAAAGTCCAAGATGTTTTTTAAATTTTCACACAGACTACAAAAATGCTTTGTCATGCTTATTTCTGTGTACCTTTTAATGCTTATTGCTGTTTTAAATAAAATCTAATTAATAACAGACTAATTTGTCCCCACATGTTATTTAGTTTAATACTAATCTTATTTCCCACAGCCTTGCTGAACTACTATTAGTTTTGAGCAGTTTCAAGCAGATTCAGCACTACTAGTCAATTGATTCTTCATTGCAAATGAACTTACAAGTATACTAATGAAAAAATGATTATTAAAATATAATTACGGGCTGCTTTTTAATCACTAATGGTATTACTATTTGTTAATGCTTAACATATGAATGCCTATTTTAAGTGAAATTTATTTTTTGAGAAACTTCTCATTTGAAAATATCAAATTTAAGTTGCAAAAACAAAACTGTAAATACTTATAGCCTTTGCCTCAATTTACTAATATTCTACCTCATTTGCTTTATCATTTCCATTTGCTTCCTTGCTCTTCTGTGTATATACAGAAATACATATGTACATATGTACATATATGTATGTACATATGATTTTTTCTGAATCATTCAAGAGTCTTTTACCCCAAAATGCTAAATATTTTTCAGTAAGAGCGGATATTCCCTAAGAATAAAAACATTCTCTTATGTCCTGGCTGGTATAGCTCACTGGATAGAGCACAGACTACAAACCAAAGGGTCACCAATTCAATTCCCAGTCAGGGCACATGCCTGGGTTGCAGGCCAGGTCCCCAGTGGGGACCATGTAAGAGGTAACCACACACTGATATTTCTCTCTCTTTCTTTCTCCCTCCCTTCCCCTCTCTAAAAATATATAAATAAAATCTTTAAAAAAAATTCTCTTACATAAAATAGCTATTTATCAGCCTCTGTAAATTTAACACACACACGACAATTTTAACTAATTTTGTATTCACATTCAAATTCTGATCTATCCAACAATGAACTGTATAACACTTTTCCCCATCCAGAATAGAATTCAGTCTATTTTTTAAAGATTTTATTTATTTTTTTAGAGGGAAGGGGGAAAGACATGGAGAGAAACATCAATGTGTCGTTGCCTCTAACACACCCCCCACTGGCCTACAACCCAGGCATGTGCACTGACTGGGAATTGAACCAGCAACCCCTTGCTTCGCAGGCCAGCACTCAATCCACTGAGCCACACTAGCCAGGGTTTGGGTCAGATATTAAATTTAGTTGACATGTCTCTTTAGTCTTCCTTAATCTGGAACATTTTCCACAGCATTTCTTTAACTTTCATAACAGTGCCATTTTTAAAAAACATAGTCTTCCCCCTCCCCTATTTTATTAAAATACCTGGCTGGTGTCGCTCAGTGAGTGGATTGAGCATGGGCCTGCGAACTAGACAATCGCGGTTCGATTCCCAGTCAGGGCCCATGCCTGGGTTACAGGCCAGGTCCCAGCAGGGGACGCATGAGAGGCAACCATACATTGATATTTCTCTCCCTCTCTCCTTCCCTTCCCCTCTAAAGATAAGTAAATAAAATATTTTTTAAAAAATAGAAAGCTCCTCATTTTGTATTTTTCTGATATTTCCCCACGATCAGATTCAGGTTATGAATTATTTTGCCAGTATACTACATGGATGATGATGTGCCATTCTCATGATACCACATCTGAAGCCACGTGATGTTCATATGTCCCCTCAGTGGTGATGTTAATTTTGATCACACAACTACAGTGTTGTCCAGTGTTGTTCAATTCTTTCACTATACAAGTGCATACAGATCACACATATACATACATATATAAACATGTACACATGTATATCTATGCATCCATATATATTTTTATAAATCATAAACTCAAACATATTCATCTAATTCCAATCCATCCCAAAGGACTTGTTCCACCTTTTTTTATCCATATATGTATCTCCCTTCTAACAAGGTCAATGTATTTACTCATGTGCTAACTCCTAGAGTATGCCTATTTTAGCTTCAGAATTGTTTTACCCACACCACTACAATAAATAAATTCACCTACAAAAAGAGTTCAATATTTCTTTGCAATTTTCCCTCCTGGCTCCTCTGAAATCCACAGATGAGGTATACAGTGTATATGTGTGTATATATATGTGTGTGTGTGTGTATATATATATATATATATAAAATAGTCTGTCCAGAAGGTATCCAGACATGTAACATGAAAAACAGAGGCATTTACTGAAGAAGATACAAGATGTAAGAAACACTGTACATAGGACAAGGACACCTCAGTCCCCTTCAAAGCAAGCACCTTGAGACCTCACCTAGTTCTCCCAATCGCCATCAGCTGCCCCATCATATTTTCCTGAATCTCATCAACAATCTGAAATCTCTTCCCTTTTAAAGGTGATTTTAGTTTGGGGAAAAATCAGAAGTCACAGGGCTCCAGGTCTGGGCTGTAGTAAGGCTGAGTCACCTGGGTGATCTAATATTTTGCTAAGAACTATGCACAAGGCATGATGCATGAGCAGCGCATTGCTGTGATGAAGCTGCCAATCACCAGCTGTCCTTAGCTGTGGCCTTCAGAATCACCTGAATAGTTTCCACGGAGGAATGTTCAAGCTTAACACAAAATTTGAAGCAAATTCATTGCTCTGCACATTCAGTCATTTTGAATGCAACAGCCACACACTACACATGCTCACTTAATGTTGTCTACCACCCCTGCTGACTAGTACAGTGAAGTCATCATTGTCTGCACATACACATTCCAGTCCTTGGCTGCCAGTTTACATCAATGTCACACGGCCCATTCTCTTTACATTAACAATGGCTGGGCTTCTCCTGGACAGACCTTGTTATATTTGGATTAATTTTTGTGTTTGTTTCTTCAGTACAGTTATGATATTCACTTGAAATATGGTTGAGTCCATTTGTTCAATTTGCTTTTAGTTCCCAATGATTTATTTTTATATTTTAATATGCAGAATGTTAACATGCTTCCAGAAGTTAAAGCTGTATGAAAAGGTACTCAAAGGAGTGTCTCTTTTGTCCATATCCTATCCACCTCATTCCACCTCATGTGCATAACCAACCTCACTGTTTTCCGGTTTATCTTTCCTAGGTTTCTATATGTAAAAATAAGCAGTTGTTTTTTTCTTCACTTTCTTTTTCTTCTTAGAAAAGGTAGCATAATATACATGCTGATTTCTTCCTAATGTCCCCTAGAAACCACTCCATGTCAGGTCACAATTGTCCATATTCCTTTTTATAACTGCATTGTACTCCACTATGGGTAGGCACCATAGTTTGTTCAACCTTCTTCTATAGTACTTGGGGTATATGCCTTTTTTATAAGAACATGAAATTTAAAAAAATATTTATGAATTGTCTTGTAAAATGTCATTAAAAACTTTCTTACGTTCACAGATCATTTTAAAAGCTTCCAAAAGAAAAACTTAAAAGATAACAGAACCCAAAAATGAAATGACAAAAAAGAATGATTTCTCAGGAATATTTTGTTTCTACCAAAATAAATGTCATGTGTGTGTTTTAACTCTCCCAGCCGTCTTCTCACATCTACTCTGTTTTCTAGCAGATTATATTTAACAAGTATTGTGTGACTACCTCACGTTCACTGCTTTGAAATTTCTCAGTTAACTTTAAAAG